CAGCCTTGTGTCCCAGACACAAGATACTTTATCATGGTCCTGGGGTGACCTTGGAACAAAAAAGAGTTGGGAAAGGTGGTAGGAATCACTGGGAAACGTAGCAGCAGGCCTTATCCTCAATCCTTAAGGCCTATAAAATGGGCATATGAAAAAAAGAAGAAAAAAAAAATGGGCTGGCCCGGTGGCGCACTGCTACAGTGCGCCGCTTGGGAGCGCGGCGGCACTCCCGCTGAGGGTTTGGATCCCACATACAGACCAGCCGCTCACTGGCTGAGCGAGGTGCAGGTGCAACACCGAAGGTTGCGATCCCGTTGCCGGTCCCGGTCCGGTACGGGTGCGACACTGAGGGTTGCGATCTGTTGCCGGTCACGAAAAAAAAAGACAAAAAGGAAAAAATAAATAAATAAAATAAAATGGGCATATGATAGGCCCTACTTTGTCTGACTTGCAAGGTAGCACTGAAGATCATTGAGGTCTCATGAAGATTTGTCAGCAGGCCTAAGACCAGGTGTCTGTCAGAGCCTCACCATAAGGGTTAACAGGTGGCTTTCCTGCTGCCCTAGAAGAGACCTAGAGTTCTAGGGTTTCACAACAGGTCTGTGCTCCCTCACCTACTCAGGGCTTGCTCTCAGAACAGGGCAGGTGCCACCACCCCTCTACCTGGGTCCTGTCTCAGAGGGCAATGTCAGCAGGGGTTGTAATCTTTACAGTAAGAAATAGGCTCAGAGTTGTGAAGTGATTTGTCCAAGGGCACACGGCTGGTTAGTAGCACACTTTGGGATTCAAAAATGTGTCTGATTCCAAAGGCCACACTCTGCTGTGGTGCAAGGCTTCCTAGAACCCTGGACCCAGAGTCTTCATCTCAACGTCTTTCTGCTGCTGCCTTCATGGTATTAGAACAGCTGGCAAGTGCTACCAAGCCCCCATTTAAGAAAGAAACAAGCTAAATTGTGCTTTGAATGGTGAAATTCAAAGCAATATGGACAATATGGGGCCTTTTCTGGCACCTCTGAAGTCACTTCACAGAAGTGATCACCTAGTCAACATAAGTCTCAACCTATCCCAGCCTAAACTTGGACCCAAGACAAAGGAATCTGCCCTGGCACAGAAAAGGAGCATAATGCACTGTTGTTGACTTTGGGGAGACAGGTGTGATCTACACAAGCCCAGTTGCACCTGAAGGCTGGGACTGCTCCAGACCACATCAACAGCACTGTTATAACTCTTCCTGAAATTTGAGCAGTGAGTTCACCAAGCACTTTCACATCAGTGATCTCTCTTAATCCTCACAGTCCTGGGGCGGGGTATGAGTTCCACTCTACTAACGAGACGGGCAATAACTGGATCAAGGAGTCAGTGGCAGGGCTGTCCAGTTATATATAACCCAGGACCGTCTCAGAGACAAGAGAATTGAGGCCGGCCAGGTAGGAACCAAAGCCATTTCCAGTGCTTGTGTTCTATGTGCTGCCTCTAGTCTAAGCTGGCTGAGTCTGTGGGCAGTGGTGTTCAGCTTCGCCACTGAGGCCTGAGGGATGTGGGACAAGTGTTTTATTTTTGTGCTTTTCATTTTCTTGTCTCTATAATGTGACCATACCACATGCCAGACTGTCCCTTGTATGTGTCATGAAAAGTCAGAGCAGAGCTTGGGTGCCTCAGAGGCTACATAGCCCTACCCCACTCTATCAAGATAGGAGCACAGAGGCTGTGAACCCTCAGGGACCTGCCCATGCCCACAAAGCCAGAACAGGGACCTAGGTGCTCAGCTCCTTGGGCCCCACTTTTCCCTTCTGCCCCACGAGAAGGGCTAGTATGAAGCTCCTCTCTCTACAACACACACTCTCCTGGGTATAGCTGGAGGATAAGAAAGAAATCTTTATTATGTCAGTTTAAAGTCTCGTGCCATGCCACCCTCAGGTCACATCTGTGCAGAGGCTGCCTCACCTGCACACCCTGAGGCCAGTTGAGAGTAGGGGCAGGTAAGGCATGGCTAGCTCCTCCCACCCCTGCTACAGCCCCCAGCCCACCACAGTTATGTCAGCAAAGCCTGACGCAGCATCTGCTTCTTCTGCGGTGTGAGGCGGGTAGGGAACTGGATGTCAAAGCAGATGAAGAGGTCCCCCTTCTGGGTGGGGTCCTCAGGAAATGGCATCCCCTCACCTGGCACCTTCTTGAAGTACTTGGGACTGAGAAAGGGAGGATGAAAGAAGGGAGCTTAGAGGCCCCCCAAGAGCAGCACCTCCACAGGTCCTGCGCCACCCCTGCTCATATAACCTCAGGAATGGGGCAGTCACTACAGCTTCCACCATGGGATGGCTCTTATCAGCCAGAACCGGGTGGGAGGGGAGAAGAGACTGGCTTGTTCCAAACAGCTTGTTCCCTGAAAAACCTGTTTACACTTAGACTCTGATGGAGGATTCCAGGAATCTCATTTCAGATATGGGAAACAGCAAGGAAGGGCATGAGCAGATCCCAGGTGGGGGTGCGGGTGCCAAGCCAAGATTCCCATGCAGAGGACCTTTCTTAGACAAGAACTTGGGGGATGAAACTCAGAATTCTAACAAGAGATTTAGGGATGAATTCTAACAAGAGATGAAGGCAACAGGGTTTGCCCAACACTGGGGGCCTCTAGTCTTTACAGTGGCTTCATGCAAATTAGAAAAAGACATTTGCTTTGGTAGATGAATGTATCCCACAGGTTGGACAGTGTGGGCTGGATTTGAGTCCTCTCTCACGACTTCAGCAGGGGTCCTTGTACTAGGTGCAGCCTGCACAGCTGTACCAAGCAGAGCTGTCTGACACTACCCCCTAAATCCCAGGCCAGCCCCTCTCTTGGTTCCTGGGGCCCAAGGTAGATGAACTCACTGGACAATGTCATTGATGGGGATGTTGAGCAGACGGTCATCTAGGGTCTTCACCTCCACGGTGCAGCAGGTGAGAGCCTGGGGAGGTTAGGGCCACAGGTGGGAAAGGAAAGGGGTCACCATGGCCATCCTATTTAGAAGGCATTTTATGAGGCTGCTTGGTGCCAGACCCTGAGCTGGGCACCAGGAAGACAACAGGCTGTTCAAGAACCAATAGGCGAATGATCCAGGCAATTAACCTGCCCTCAAGGAGCTCACAGTCTGATAACGTAAGGTCGATGTTAATATAGTATAAGTGTTAGAACAGAGATGGAAATAAAGGGTCTGTGGGAGGGCCCAAGGAGAGGCCCCTAAACCATTCTGGAACGGGGCAGGAAGGCTACACAGTGGTAGTAGCAAGTGATGAGGGCCTTAAAGGGTGTGGTGGGTAGACAGCATTCTAGGTGCAGGGCCCAGCAGAAAGGAGAACAAAGGTGTGAAAATGCACCACAGGAGGAGGGGAGCTAAGCCACACAGGGGCTGGAATGCAGGGGATGAGTTGGGAGTTGGGTGCAGAGAGCCTCTGTTTAGACAGTGAGGAATGTGGCAGCATCCGATGAGTGTGTGGAAAGATCCCTGAGGAGATGTGGAGGGTGGCAGGAGGGCCTGCTGCACAGATACAGTCAGTGTGATGAACAGAGGGGACGAAGTCAAGAGAGATTTGGGAGGTAAAATCCACAGGACTTAGCGACTGGGGGCAGGTGGCTGGGGGGGGGCAAAGTCTAGGCCTGTGCTGGTGGGGCCAATCCCCCACCCCTTGGCCCCTCCCCTTTGCTTACTCACCTTGCCCAAAGGGATAGGGTTCACAAAGAAGAGGTCATTGTTCTCCCTGCGGAAGCAAGGGTGTAGCTTCTCTTTCACAATGAAGATGATGTCAGCTGGGATGATGTTGGGGCCCTGGGCAGGGGTAACAAGGACTAATTGGCTGTGTGATCTTGGCCAAGTTCCTACCTTGCCTCCATGTCTGTCACTATACAATGGGAAGATTAGACCAAGTTTTCTGGAAGGGCCTTTTCAGTTTGGCCCCCATAGCCCCTGCTCTGAGAAGCCTACCCTGATGAATCTCCCCAAATTACTTCTCCCCTACAGAACCTGCCCAAAATAGATGCACTCAGCTGGAGGGAGAGAAAGGCTTCCTCAGGTGGGGGCAGGTAGAGAACACTGAGTTGGGTGCCCGCAAGTCTCTGTCCTGCTGGTAACTCCGGGCTGGGAGGCTCAGAGGAGGCACTGACCCACATGGGGAGGTCAGGGAAGGCCGCCCAGAGTGGGGGATGTTGGGGCTGGGTCTTGAAGGGTGTCTTTTGGAAGTAGATGTTTTACCGGTGAGAAAGGGGGCAAAAAGTGCCAGCAGAGGAATTAATCTCTCTCAGCTCTGAATACTCCATCACTCCTCTTCTTCTCAGGACTTAAGGACTCAGAGTGCTTTAGACAATTTTATATTTTCATTTAAATAATATTTAATTTAAAATTATTAATAATAAATGGTTTTAGAGTAGCTCCTGTAGTTGGGCTTTATTCAGAGAAGCACTAAAGAAAATCAGGAAAAGCACTGAAGTTAAGACTGGGTTCTCCTTTCAGGTCTTGTGCTCTTGCCCTGGGCATGTACCTTTCCTCTTTTGGCCTCAGTTTCTGAGCCCAGGTGACTGACCCTCGTCAGCTTTTTTCCCTCTCACCTGGTCCCCTTCTTTCTCAAAGGTGATACGTGTGCCCTGCCTCCAACCAGGCTTCACATCAATTGTCAGGATCTTGTCCTTGATGGTAGAAGAGTACCCATCCTCGTTCAGCACCTGCAGCAAGATGGAAGAAGGGGGAGGCTTGCTTAGAACTTCCATGAGCACTCAGTTGGCCTTTGCACAGATGAAAGATTCTCTGTGGGATTAGTACTTGGGCTCAATCCCCTAGCGATGGGGAGAACCTGCTCCGAGCCATTCCCACTCCCACCCTATTGCCACTGAAACCAAGAATTTATTATTCCAGGATGCATGGCATGCCATGGGGCTGGGGCTGGCACTTGAGATGCCTAGAAGTCACCATGAGTTGATCAAACCCAAAACTCCAGCCCTGGCCACTAATGGACGCACAGTGAACATGAACTCAGTCCTCTCTCCAAATCCCAGAGGTCCTGGCCTGAGCCTCTGGCAGGTCTCTTAATCACTAGGGAGAAAGAACATGGGGTCGACATATCTTAGCCTCACCCAATGCATTTTCCCATTATGTCATCCATCCATTCCCCAATCATGTGCAAACATGGGTGCCAGCTGTGGAAAGCATGGTCACTATCAGCATCTCTTCTGCTGGGCAAAGGTAAGGGGTCTTGCTCTTGTGCCTACCACAGGGCTGGCCATGGGACAAGGCCAAACCAAGGTCTGGATTCTAGGGCATTGAGGGTCTTCCTCAACTAGTCACCATGGGGACTGTCTCCCAGCCCACCTTTCATGCCCACACTGCTCCCTCTTACTCATGAGGTGAAGCATACATCCTGATGAGATGCTGAGGGTATGGGATGGTAATGCCCAGAGGGCAGAATTCACAGGAAACTCCTCCCATTCAGGAGCCTCACACTTCTCACAAGAATAGGGCTGAATTGAGAGAAGAAGGGAAAGATCTTGTCCCATTAAGGGAGGCTGCAGAGAGGACTTGTGCACTAGGAAAGAACTGGACTAATACCCTCAATTGTCCCTCCCAAATATCAGGTTCTAGAATCCTAAGATCCTACGTCTCTGAATCTAAGATTCCATGATTCCATCAGAGACCATGCCTGAGTTCTCCAGTTAGGAAAAAGGACGAGGTGACTGGTAGGATTGGAGGAGACAGTTGGTGGCTCCCGGCAGGAGCAAGCCAAGTACTCACCCTTCGGGAGATCTTAATTTTTTTGGTGCAGCCAAAGAATAAATCCTCCAGAGACAGGTAGAGGTCCCGTTCAATTGGAGGGTCCTGCTTTTTGACACCTCGACCCCGGAGGCCCCCAAAGTTCAAATCCACCTCACTTCCTTCTGCATCAAAAAACTCTGCAGGAGATAGGGAGAGGAGTAAGAGAAATTGTGTCCAGAGACTCGGATTCTCACACACACATGCGCACACAACACAGCCCACATCCTCCGTCTCTGTAGTTCCCCCCACCTCTCTCCAGTGCCCCAAGTGTAATGCCCAGCACCCCATTCCCACCTCTCAGACTCAGACTGTCTGGCCAGGCCAAGAAGCTGTCCTCATTGCAGATCAGTGATTATCATCCCTTGCCGCATCCCACTGCTTCACCCCCTCTTGTGACATCTCCCCATTTCCCTGACCCTCAATTCCACTGTCACAGGAAAGAGAGTGTGCCCTCTGGCAGCAGCACCAGAAAAGACTCAGGCTGTTAGCTTTCAGCGGGAGGGTCATAGCACACCAGTCCTCCCTACCCTTCCCCACTCCACTCCCCTCACTGTCCAGCCCAGCCCAAGACCACAAGAGACCCCACACTTAAATTTCTATAAAGTTATCAGCTGTGATGGGGAAGGGGAAGAATTAGTTCCTAGCAAATTTGAGAGGTCAGCAGCATATCTCCCAAATCCTTGTTCCTCAACTTCTTTTGCCCCTGCCCAGCTCTACACCCATAACCCCTTTTGCTGTCCCCACCCTTCCATCTGAGTGCAAAGAGAGCTCCGTGCTGGCTGCACCCTGGAGCAATCCTTTGGGCATCAGTTTCTCGGTCCATGAGATGAGGTAATAATGCCTGCCCTGCCTGCGGCATTAAGATGAAGAAGAGCTAAAACTTGCTGAGAGCTTACAATGCATCAGGTGCTATTTTCAGCACTTTATTATTTCATTGGCCCAGAGAGGCCAAACAAAATGCTTACAGTCCCACAGCTTGTGAGTAGTAGAGGTGGGATCTGAAATCATTGGGATGATTTGATTACAGAACTTGTGCCCTTAACCACTATACTATATTGCTAGATGTGGAAGCCCTTTATAAACTGGAGCGTCAGGGGTTGCTATTATGGTTAAGATTTTCTGTACTCTGCCTCTCATGGGTAATGTCATGGAATGAACTTCACAGGCTAGAATGGTGCAATGACTTTAGGCTGGGGATGGGGAGGTGGCTTCACACTATGATGTGATAGGTAATCAAAAGGCTAGTCCCTCTCCTGCATTACTGAATTCATGGTGTGCCAGGTAGTAGACACTACAGGAGCCAGGCCACGGGAAGCCCAGCCCTTCAACCCTGTAGGGAAATGGGACATAAGAAGCCAAGGGGTGGAGCACTGTAACAGTATAGCCCCTGAACACCATCTAAGGGACCCCCAAGCCCTGAGCCTGACCTTCCCTAATGAGCGATGCCCCTGTAAGCTCTCGCTTGGCTCCTTTGAACTTCCTCTTTTCCATGCACCTGTCCCAAGGAGAGAGAGCTCCACCGCGTGGCATTTTCTGACCGCAAAGCCCATTTTCATGAGCACTATCTCATTTGATAATGACCTCCAAGACATGATTATTATGGCCATTTAATGGTGAGGAAGCTGAGGTCACAGAGAGGTGAAGAAATTTACCCAGGATCACACAGGTCATAAATGGCAGTGCATGGATTTGAAACAGGCCCTCTGACTCCAAGTCCCCTGCTTTTTCCAGTCTCACATGGAGTTAATAAACTCAGCTTCCTCTGGCAGACATGTGAGGGTAATGCACAGTGGGAGTGGTCTCTGAGGTGGACGGCTGTAGTCCACTGATTAGCATGGAGAAGAGGAAGAGAGACTTTTGAATGCAGAAAGCCTGCTGTATAGCCAGGGAGAAGGAGCAGGGGGTCAGGGGGAGACAGGCAGTGAAAATCTAGACTCTCTGAGTTAGTTGCATATCAGGAGCCAGGAAGATAGGTTTGAAGGTTAACTGTCTTTGCAAGATGATTCTGAGCCTCAGAAATCAACTCTTAGGACCAGTCCGGTGGCGCACTCGGTAGAGTGCGGTGCTTGGGAGTGTGGCGGCGCTCCCGCAGAGGGTTCGGATCCCATATAGAGACCGGTCTGCTCACTGGTTGAGCGCGGTGCGGGCGCGACACCGAGGGTTGCGATCCCGTTACCGGTCACAAAAAAGACAAAAAGGAAGAAAAAAAAAAAAAAAGAAATCAACTCTTAGTCAGTTTTTCTGGAATGTGGATCATGCACCCATGCTTCTATCCACCTATCTATCCATCTGCTCATCCTCCCATGTACTTATCTGTTCACCCATCCACCCACTCATCCGTTCATCCCTCCTCCCTTCTGCCCATCTGTCCTTCCTTCCGTCCTTTCATCCATCCACCAGCCCACTCACTCTTGTCAGCCGCTAGGCTGGGGTTTGGGTACTCAGAGATCAATCAGACCTGGAGAAGTCCCCAGTCTGGTAGGGAGATAAGCATATTAGGGAAACTGACTGTAAGAAGCATGAGAACTGTTTCACCAGAAGAAGAGACAATGGGCATCTTCCCACATATACATGTTGGCAAAAGACTGGAAAGAAACTAAATATCCATTAATAAGAGAGCAATTAAAAATAAATTCTAAAACACCCCATGGTGGGTATGCTGGCACTTGGCATCCATTCCATCCTCCTTGTTGTGTACCTTCCCTGCTGTAGAATCTACAGAGCTAAAGAGGACTGTTTCCCAGGCTTTCTTGCAGCTAGGGTTCTGTCTTTGAACTCTGGGTTCAGGTAAACTCTGAGAAACTTGGAAGGCAGACCTCTCTCTGTGGCTTTGGCTGGAGCTGGTGAGCACAACCACGGGGATACTGGGTTTTTCTGCAGCGACACTTCTGTGTCTACCCATTAGCTTCATGCCTGTCAGAGGCAAGTAGGGCAGTGATGGCAGCAGATTCCTTAAGCCATGGTTGCAGTTACAATGGTATGTTCTAGAACACAACAGTGGTGGTTCCTGACTCCCTCTTCATGACTGTGGAGGAGACAGCATCTCTCCCTGCAGGCCACTTTGGAAGTGTTGTTCTCAGAGGAATTCCTGGGGGCCCAGCCTAGAGCCCTCTCACCCAGACCTTCCAGTGATTGTTTAAGCACCTAATTCCCTATATTGAACCCCTTTCTGCTTCACATGGTTAAAATGGTATCTGTTTCTACAACTGATCCCTTACTAACATCTGTACAATGAAATCTTAAGCAGCCATGACAGTGATTAAAGTAGACCTGTACATATAGGGTAATCTCTAAGATGTATTAAGTGAAAAAAATCAGTGTGTACAATGTGGTCCCATTTCCTTAACAAAACAACAGGTTTATGCAAAAATAAATATATGCTCATAAGTGCATGGAAATTCCTGGAAGGATACATAAACTGTTAACAGTGAGTGGCTGCTTCTGGGGAAAGAAAAAGAGGGCTAGAATTTATTTCTCTTTCAATAAATTGTTTTACTTTTTTTTTAAAACCATTTATTATATGAGGGTAATTCAAAAAGTTCATGGAAAGATTCATGTTATCTTTTAGTTCTATTTTTCCGTGAACTTTTCAAATTAAACAGAACTACCCAAAGAAAAGCATCTTTCACAGCTGTGTCCTTTCCCAGTAAAGCAAGGGGGTGAGTGTGCCCTCTTACCACTGAATGGGTTGTCTCCTCCAAAGAACTCATGGAAAACCTTTTCAGGGTTGCCATGGAAGACGTAACCAGTTGTCCATGGGGTCTGGGATCCAAACTCCAGAGGAATTCCACCTTTCAGGCCCTCCTCTCCAAACCTGTCATAGATGCCTCTCTTCACAGCTGTGGATATGTGTCACCTTGAGGAGGGGACCAGCCTAGGGGGCTCAGATAGATGAAGGGGCTGAGAAGCGGGAGCATGTGGGGAAGGGAAAGGGGTAAAAACAGCCTTATTTCCAAAGTGCCTGCCATGTGGCTGTCTTTGGAATCAGACTTTAGAAGCTGGGGGTTCAATTTCATTCTGGTGGACCTAGGTATGGTACCTATAGCCAAGAAGAGAGATGGGACAGATTAAGATTTGCTGGGGATGGGGTGGAGGTTGCAGGAAGAACTGAGAGACTAAGGGTCAGGTCCTGGGATGTGGCTTAATTCAGTCATCATGTCTACTGTCTTATCTGGGTAAATAGAGTCTTAGAACCTTAAAATTTTAGAATCTAAGAATTCTAGAGCCTCCAAATTCTACAGCTTTAACTTCAAATTCTACAGCTTTAAAATCCTAGAGTCTAAGGACTCTGAAGTCCTGCACACTTGGGGATGGAGAAACCTTAGTGATCTTCTAGCTGGCGTTCTGCACAGTACCCACGATTACAGTCTTCAGGACAAGCCCTCAGGGAAAGCCCCCAGGCACTGTCCCGTGTTAGGACAGGCTATCACACTTTCCCCATTCTTCTGGTTTCCATGGGAGAGATATTTCCTAATAACCTCCGGCCTCTCTCTGCCCCTTTATACTCCTGCTGTCCTTGGGGAGATGGGGACTTAGCCACTTGCTGATTCTGGGAGGGACAGGTGGGCACGGCTGCTCATCGTCAGCCTTGTTCCCTCGGCAGCAGGCGGCTCTCTGCTCCTGGGGGGAAGGTTCCATCCCTGCAGGGGGGGAGGGGGGCACGTGCCCTGCGTGCCCCGACTGGGCGAGCAGGTCAGCCTACTCCTGGGCTCTACACCTCCACCTTTGCTTGCAGCTACTGAGAAAGGCAATTCTTTATTCTGTTTCTCCCTGTTGGTTTAGAGTCTGGGCAGGGAAGAGGGCTGCTTGCTCTCCATTGGGCCCCCTCAGAAAACCCAACAGTCTAGGAGCTTAAGGAATGATCTTAATGGAGGAGTGGGTGATGGATGAGGTCTCCTGGAGCGAGTCCTCATACTCAGCCCCACAGTCACTCACGGTCGCTCAGCACATCATAGGCCTCTGCTATTTGCCTGAACGTCTCTGCTGCAGATGGCTCGTTTGACGTCAACGGGTGGTTTTTAAGGGCAAGTTTCCGGTACCTAGAAGAGGGAGAGTTAATACCAGTCAGAATGGCTGCCTGTTCCTGAGGGGCAGAGCACAGTTCAGAGCTGGTGCCGCTGTCTGCTGTAACTCAGGGATGCCCTCCCAGGTGGTGCTGGCCACCGAGGTGCATTGCTCAGGTCGTCCTGAAGAGAACCCGGTGTACGGAGCTTAGGTGAATGACAGCCACAGTAGTGGCCCCCCTGGGCATTTGTGCTGAGGCTACACTTCCCCCATCTACCCCAACCGCTGCCTAAGTGTGGTGGGGACATCAGTGCTGGCCCATTCCTGCAAGACATGGGACTCCTTCAGTGGGTGACCTTTGCTGAGGACTCCCCCAGCCTGGCTGAGATTTTCTCTCACCGCACTGCAGCTCTCCCTACCCAATCCTTCCTTCCCTCTGTCCTTCCACAGGAGTCAGGCCTGCGCTGTGAAGGCTCTCCCTGCACCCTCCTGCTCCCTCCCCTTCTCTCACAGGCCCCTTAGACTCCCACACATTTCCTGCACATCTAATCCTGTCTGCTTTTCAGAATGCCAAAAGTGACATGCAGGCTTCTTGAGAGGGTGAGATAAAATCAGGTGTTCAGAGGGCCTGGCAGAGAGAGGCCTGACTGGTCCTTTCTGGCTCATCTCCTACCCTGTGCTCATTCTCTCCCCACTTCTGCATCGCCCAATCCCACCACTTAGTGACCAAGGCCTGCAGCATCTCAGGATATGTGTCAGCAGTGTCCCAGGAGGGAAGAGATGGCATGGTCTGGGCAATTTGTGGAGAGTTCAATAAAGGGATCATTCACCAAGGTGCACGAAGAGGGGAGGGAGACCACCAGGCACAGGACCCGAGTGCTGGGCACCCTGAGGCACCCTGACCACCCCTGAGCCTGTAGGAATGAGGGGAGGGAGCGGTTACTGAAACCTGAAAGGAGAAAGTGTGTGCACAGGGCCCTTGGCAGGAGCTGTGGCCCTTGGTTATGGGACATAGGCAACTGACCAGACCCTATAGGAAGGGAGCTGGGGAATAAAGACCACAGCCCCACCCTCGCGCTACCATTTAGCAGAATGCACCAGGAAGCCTGGTGCCTCCCAGGGCACAGAGCACGGCAGGGGAGGGTAGGGAGCAGGTCTGGAGTGGCACATGGAAGACATCCAGCTCAGACTCCTAAGTTGCTCAGTTTAAATGTGACCCCACGTAGCCTCGGCTGGGTCAGAGCCCGGCTCCTCTTCCCCTGCCCACACCTTCTGTGTTGGTGTCCAGGCAAGCTCACCTCTCACAAGGCTCATGACTCCCGAATCCCTATCTCAAGCCAGACCCCTTCCCTGAGACCTCGACTTCTACAAGCAGCTGCCTCCTTGCTAGCTCCTCGTCAGTGTCCCACAGGCACTGCAAATTCAAAGAGCCCAAACATGACCACATTTTTATTGTTAATTTTCTCCCCAGGCACTGCAACCAGAAATCTGAGCATTATCTTTGACTCCAAGTTCTCCTTTGTCCCCTCAACCCCCACCCGTCAGTCACCAAGTCGTATATTTTTCCTTCTAAATAACGTTCTGTTCCTGCCTCTTTATCCCTACAGCTATTGCCAAACCATGTCTTCCTGTATCCAGCGGGTCCTCCTCTCCAGTCCACCCTGTGTGCTGCCACTGGTTTGATCTCTCTCCCTCTCTCTCATTAGTTTGATTCTTCTAAAATACCCTCTGACCAAGTCACTCTCCTGCATAAATGACTTGCTCATTCCCCTGTTGTCTTGAGCATAAAGCCCCAATGTCTCACTCTGAGATTCAAGCCCCTACGTCTCTCTGGCCTCGCTCCCCCTTCTCCTTCCCTGCTCCCATGACCTTTCCTGCCCCTCTGAACCTCTCGTCACTCTCCAAACTCTCCCTCTGTATTGCTCCCTGCCCCTGCACATTCTATTCCCTTTTGCTGTGCCGCTCACCCCTCTGCAGCCCCTCCCAGCTCCTCCTGGCAATTTTCTATTCATCCTTCAACATTCAGCTCAGGGACCAACTCCTCCAGGGCACCCTCCTTGACTGCCAGCCTCCATTCTAGGTCAGATTCCCCTTCCCAAGTCCCCAGTGCCTTTGATTCTAGCACTTAGCATGCTGTGTTCCAGGTGACTGTTGACTAATCTGTCTCCCCCACAAGACTGTGAGGTCCTGGAGCTGCTATGTCCAGTTCTCTGTGTCCCCAGTGCCTAGCACTGAGCAGGAATGAGTAAATGAATGACACGAGCTCACTGCCCTGAGAGGCAGCCCATCCCACGGCCCTGGAGCTGCTGCTGCTCTGCAATTTTCCCTCCTTCCCAAAGTATCCTGGTTCTCCCCTTGGGGGCCTCACAGAGAGAATCTGCTCTGTCTACCTTCAGAGACTTGAACACAATTGTCACAGCCTCCCTGAGACTTCTAAATCAGCCCTTCTCAATTACAAAGGTCACAGTCAGTTATAACTGCAAGTAAATTCTATCAGTGAGTAAAATTAACAAAGTTTGAGAAGAGTTTAGTTTTTCACATAAATTCAAGTGGTTTTAAGATGATCCCAGCAGTAACATCACTCTCATTCACCTGCTTTCCTGAGTGGGAGAGAAAGGGGTAATGCGGTGATTACGAATCCTGGGCCATTATGAATCATCATGGTGATTTTTGTCTTTCTGTAAGTTTAACTTTTTTTTTTTTGGTTAAAATCTAGGTAATCCTATAGGTGAGCATGTCATACATGTGATTCATCCCTTAAGAAATGTTGCAGGGGAGAAGGGTTAAGGACTGTTTTTTGAAACATATGCAGTGCTTTTAATCACTCTTTCTGTGACATGGTTTCCCATGCAAATGATTGCTGGGCATTTGCACATACATCATCTAATCCTATTTCAACATCACAGCAAAGATGATGATGATGATGATGATGATGATGATGATGATGATGATGATGATTATCAGAGATGGGAAAACAGGCTCAGAGCATTAAGTAATTTAACCAGCCCAGGTCACAGAGCTGGCAGTTAAACGAACCTGGATTCAGATTTGGGTCTTCCCAACACTTACGCTGTGCTTATCTTTCTGCACTCCAACTGCCCTCCTTCCTGGTAATCCTTTTTTTTTTTTTCCTTTTTTGGCGGCCAGTTAGTACAGGGAACCGAACCCGTGACCTTGGTGTTATAAGGCTGCTCTCTAACCAACTGAACAACCGGCCAGCCTTTCCTGGTAATCTTCCTCTATGTGGGTCCTACTGGCCAGGGAGATATCCTGAACAGTGGGTGACATCACACATTGTTCTGAATTGTTCTCAAATTGTTTCATGAGTTTGTGTCTTGTTTCTCCAACTATACTATAGATTCTGCTTATGCCACTTAAATCTCCTACAGGACCTGGCCCCAGGGATAAGCCCATGGTGGGCAACTCTAGTAGGCACGGTGTCTGAATACTGGCTCTGCCATTTACTAGATGTGTGGCTTTGGGATAATAATAATGCACGTACCTCTCAGGGTTGTCGGGAGGGTTAAATGAAATAATGATGGAAAATTCTCAGAACAGCACCTACACACTCAATAAATGTGTGTAAATAAATAAAACTATGCAGTCTTAATTTATTCTAGACTCCTTTTTTCTTTACCCTCCAATAAAGCACTTACATACCATGTCCATTCTCGCCCCTCTCTCCAGCCCCCTGCCCTACTTCGAGACTCGTCTTTTGCCTCAATTACCATGACAGCCTCCTAAGGGGTCTCTCTCCTGCCAATATTAGCTTCCACAGCACCCTGTACTTCTTCTTTTGTAACACTCATCATAGTTGTGGTGACATTCAATATCTGTATTCACCAACAAAGTTAAGCTGAATGAGGTAAGGGAGCATATCTGTCTGATTCACAATTATATCTCCAGCTGCTACCACTGCACCTAACCTGTACAGTAGGCATTCAGTAAATATTTGATAAAAAAAATTTTTTTTAGAAAAATGTGCTGAGGGCCGGCCCGTGGCTCACTCGGGAGAGTGCGGTGCTGATAACACCAAGGCCCCGGGTTCGGATCCCATATAGGGATGGCCGGTTCACTCACTGGCTGAGTGTGGTGCTGACAACACCAAGTCAAGGGTTAAGATCCCCTTACCGGTCATCTTTTTTAAAAAAAAAAAAAAGAAAAATGTGCTGAATTCTTAGGAATGTACACAGAGTCCTCAAGACTTGATGGAAGTATTCAGAGATGCAGTTTAGGCAACACCAAAAACTCACATGATGGCCAGAATGAAATTTGTAACACATTCATCTGGCCAGGTCACTCCCCTGTTTACAATACTTTGATTCCCCATAATATTCAGGATAAAGTTCAAATGACTCCTTTGTCCTCATTTCATTGCTAGGAAAACCAAGGCACCCAGGAGAGGAGACAGGACATAGGGCATAAAGGGAGATGGGCTGGGAACAGGTTGAGGAACCAAGGTGTCCGAATTTCCAGCCTGGGCCCTGCCCCAGCCCAAAGCCAGGATACAGGTATGCAAGAGGTAAAAAAGGAGCAAGGTTTACCTTGTCTGTCCTAAGCTGTGTAGGAAAGCTCGGTTTGGAAGACATGAGGAGGGGCCTGTCCCGGCACACCCCTATGGCCTGGCTCCCACCCTTACTTACGCCTTTTTGATCTGGGCATCCTCTGAATTGCGAGTGATCTGGAGCACAGAGTAATAATCCTGGCCCATGGCTGGCTGGCAGTGGTTGGTGGATAGTCCTGTCTCCAGCAGGGCTGTTAGTCTGCATTCCTTGGTTGCTCCTGACAACCGCACAGGTGCACTCTGGGAGCTGTAGTTCTTCCTTTCAAAGCAAATCGGCTTCTTAGCTCTGCTTCATAGAAGGAAAGAAAGGATTAGGAGCTGGGGTGATTCTGTGACCCTAATAAATGTCACTCAACTCAGAAATGGGAGAGTGGGCCGGCCTGTGGCTCACTCGGGAGAGTGCGGTGCTGATAACACCAAGGCCACGGG